TACAATGTATTCCAGAACTGTAGACTGTATCCCACAGCTGAACCCCACAACACGCTGCCAGACACGGGCAGTGGGAAGCAGTGGTTCATAACCAGCAGCTTCCCATGTCTTCCTTCCATGTCACACCCCCCACTCCCCCACAAAACCAGCTTCTGGTGGAGATTGTTTCGTTCAGAAGCCTGAGCTGCTTCCCTGATGCTTCCTTACCGTTACTGTTAGTGTTTCCACCTGGTCTTCCACATCCTGGGCCTGGAGCAGAGGAGGACTGGGTTTCCAGAGCATTGGAGAAGTGAGGCACAGAAAAGAAGCGTTTCAATATTAGACCTGTGCCAGTCCTGAGACTGTGCAGCTTCACTGTGCCTGCAGAAGCAGACACTGCTTATCAACGAAGCTGGAGGAGGCTGGGAGGAGCAAGCGATGGCTTTGACAAACTGCTTTTCTGAGAATCTGGCCTACTTGCCGTGGCCTGAGCAAGTAAGGAACAGCATATCCAGAACGTTACGCTTCAACTAGTTGGGCTGTTCCTAGAAAGAATTCCCTGGGCACAGCAGTAGCCACATGCACAAACCACTTCCTGTTGTGTGCTCACTTTGCCACACGGCAGCCCCTGAAGAAAGAGGGAATATATTTCTCTAAGAAAATGTAACACGCAGGCTGGTAAAAGCCCTTCACTAGAGGCTCTCTTCCCTTTTGCAAACTCCCCTCTTGTTATGCAGTACTCTTCTCAGGGGAGCAACTGCCTTATATTTCATTAACTGATTTTCCTGCTAGCTCACGAAAAAGAGGATCAGATCAGCTCACCCCCATCCTTCCTGGTGCTTCTTTCCCTACCTAACATCCTGTTCCACTGTGGACTTCCACAGGGACAACATGTGTCATCATGGTCTTCTCCACGGGCTGCAGGGGAATCTCTGCTCCAGAACCTGGAGCACCTCCTTGCTCTCCAATCTTCACTGGCTATGCATTCCACAAGGCTGTTTCTCTCACATATTCTCACTCACTCACAGCTGCTGTTGCGCAGTGTTTCTGAATCATAGAGGCATTGCCAGTATCACTAATGGGCTCAGCTTTGGCCGGCAGAAGAGCCATCTTGGAGTTGGCTGGAACTGGGTACTACCGATATGGGAGCAGATCCTGGCAGCTTCTTAAATAAGGGACTCCTGCAGCCCTCTTACTACCAAAACCTTGCAATGTAAACCCAATACATCACCACTGATTATATAATTGATTATATAAGGAAGCTGGCTGGGAGATATGTGTCATTTTGGAAAAGCTGCTTTGGCTGTTTCTTTTGGCATGTTTCTGTCTGTGCTGGGGTGGGACTGGGTAAGTAGATTGTTTAGAGGAGTAAGCTTAACAACTCTAATAATGCTGCCAAACTCACGTGAGGCATTTGAAATGTTTCTGTATAGAGCTGAGAATGTGTGGTTGGATCCTATCCGTCCATGTCTTTGGGTGAAGCGACAGTGGACATTTTTGTGGTCTTCTAAGCAAAACGGGCTGCACCAACAGTGGCCAAATGGCACACATCCATAGAAAGAACTCATCCAGCATGATACCCTGGCAGTCTCCGGGTTCTTGTCTTGCTGTGGACCTGGAAGAGTTTTCTCCCTTAAAATACGCCTCCTGATGAATAAGGAGGTGAAGCAGCACCGCTGATCACACACATCTCTGCAGGGATGTGCCTCACTTCTGCAGGAAAGCCCAGCAGAGGGAGCCACACCCCTTCAGGTTGCTGTCCTGGAGAGATGCAAGGAGACAAATCAGCTGTGGTGGCTTTCCAGCCACCAGTGGTGTGCACATTTATTCTTCAGTAAAGAGATGGGGAGGCAAAACTAAGCTGGGTCCAGACTGGTCCCTGCTCAGGGGTGGGTGCATCTGGGGAGCCCAGCCACTGTTTGATTTAGGTATAGGATGACTCTGAATCCCTGGTCTCTTCTGCTCACTTGCCTCACACTGTGGTCTCATCATGGTTCCAAATATCCCCGTTCCTGAGAAACAGGAACTGAAAGCCAAAGTGTTACTGACTCTACTGAGGGAAACAAACTTCTCTGCAGAGCCAAACACTACTTTGAGGCACTTCCAGTGAAGGAGAGATGCTTCTCTCCCAAACCCCAAAACATTTACAGTGGCAGCACTCATCAGTAAGCCCATTGCCATGTTAGAGCCAACAGGGCTGGGGCCATGGAGTGACTGAAGACCTCTCAGCTGGTCCAAATGGCAGTCTGACAAATATCACCTCTGAGGTGACACTGATGCAATCCACCTGGCTGTGACCATCAAGGTGGAACACATTCCCTGCATACACTGTGCTGTGAGGACATCTTCCATAGGAGGATCCCACAGGGCTTTATGGGGATCTGCAGGTCACCGTGGTCACCAGCACCACCCTTCTCTCTGCACTGCTGCAGCCAAGCACCCCTCAGGTGCTTAAGGTGCCAAATTTGGGGTTATGGGTTACAAAAGACATTTTCAAGCTTTTGATCCAAGCCAAAAGGGTTCCCAGGTGAACCTATATTGCCATGCTGCAACTGGAATAGTTTGGCTCTACAGTGCCTGTGGGATGTTTTCTGCTGAGGGTATGTTCAGGAGGAACAGGTTAAGTTTCTCTCATGACACCATTTATTTTCCGTGTGCTATAACACTGAAACTGCCCCTGTGAAGCCAAGGAGTGGGCAGAGTGAAAGCCAGGTGAAAGCAGAGCATCCCATCCAAGGCTGACACATGATGCCAATGGGAGCAGCACCAGCACTCAGGCACATCCTGTTCACAGGGTGGCTACCCGAGGACAACTGCAACTGCACCCCTCTCTGCTTCTCCTGGGCACCTTCCTCCTCGTCCTCCTCCTGCTCATGCTCTTTCTCCTTTCCCGCTGGCACCGCTCTTTGAAAGGACTGGGGCACTGATGGCCTTCCTGATGGGGTTGGTGGCAAATTTTCCTTGTTCTTGGGCTTCCTGCAGACAGGGCTTCCCACTACCATGCAGGACACAGCCAAGGTCTCCTAGAGAAGGGCATTGGGCCTTGTCTTTCCCCTGTGAATGAAGTGCCAGTGGCCTGCGCCCCTGCCGTCACTGATGCATGTTGACATCCTGTCTCCTCTGGTCAGTGCTTTCCCCATAGGAAGAGCCCGGCATGGAGCTTGGCAAGCTGCAAGCAGAGGTGCACTTTGGTTTCTCTGGCTGGGGGTGTTTTGTGCTACTGCGACTGTGCTGACCAGCGCAGGCACCAGAGGATGTCCTGTCACAGGCTCTGTGCAAATGTTACAGGCAGCTTGCTCCTCTCCCACTCAGGCTCAGTGAAACTCGTCCCCCAAGCATAACATGTGTGGTGTGAATGTCTGAGGTGTCACCCTCAGTCCCAGCTACTGCGCTGGGTGGCTTGTGAGCCTCTATTCCTGCTTCACTGGGAGATGCCTGGACATTTCACAGCTCCCTGGCAGTCTCAGGGCTGCTGGGGCTGCTTGTTCGTCATGCTCGAGCAACCTGTCATGTCTGTTTAGGAGATGAGAGGCACAGAACTGCCAAATTCCCATTTGGTGGACACATCTTTTTCCACACTGAATGATTCCTGGGTATATTCTCTGCCACCAACACTAACACATTTGTGAGTGCTCTATTAAACTTGCATATGGGTAGTGGAGATTCAGCTTCAACACTGTCAGTAACTCCTGTGACAAAGTAATTTTGATTTCTAGTTTTAGGTATTTTAAGAGTTAATACCCATGTTAAGAGTCTTACAATACCCATAGTAAGAGTTAATACCATGGCTTGACTCATGCATAAAACTTTGACCAATATCCCTCTGCTGACTGCGGACAAAGAAAGCCAGTCACCACCACATGTGCAATAGTTGTATATTTTCTTGTTTCACAGATATTTATCCCTCTGCCTTTGGAGCAATGGTGAATGCAGGTGGACATTCGAAGAATTTGGGAGAGACAAGAGCCTGTTCCAAATGGGGATCTTTAGCAGCACATCTATGGACTGATGCCCAGTGAGGTACTGTTTGTTCAAAACAAACAAAAAAATGATGAGATTTGCCTGAATTTCAGTAATGGCACCAGGCTATAGTGAGGAGCAGCAGTATTTAAGGAGATAACACACACTTCAGATGTTACTTACTGGTCAGCAGCACTTGTCTTTCCCATGTATCTTGTGTTGTGGGGAAAATCAGAGACAGCTATGGGATAGAAACCGTGTTAGGTCAGGATGTGGTGGCAGTGGGTACTTGGTAGAGTTGGTGGAAATACAGTGCTGTTCAGGGCTTTATTTGTCAGTGAGACTGTCCTGCAGTGTGCATATTTTCAGAAGAAAGGGTGATATGGACTTGGCAGCATTCAGATTACAGTTGGACTCGATGATCTTAAACATCTTTTCCAACCTAAATGACTATGATTCTGTGATCATTTCCCTTTGGTATTTCTGCCTGTGCTTGGGTGATTGTGGTGGGAAAATGCCTTCCAAGGAGAAATGTTAAAGCAAACATGGTGCCCTTTACCACTGTGGGCTACTGGCAGCATTGGACCATTCCCCTCAGACATCTTCACCAAAAGTTCTTGGAGCAGAGGACAGGCAGTGCTACTTTCTCTCTCCCAGCCAGAGCAACTGCAGAACAGGGGCAGCAGGTGGGACGGGGGCACCCAGGTGAGAGACGGGGACACTTCAAAGACGTGTGGGGGAAATTGCAAATCTCTTCCACTGACGTTCATATAAACGCCCAAAGTGAAAAAGCCTACTGATAATTCAGAAGATAAACCTGAAATGTTTCCGTTTTTCTAAGTGTCAAGTACACATGTCACACAGAGAAACACATGTCACACAGAGGAAAAGATATTTTAGGACTGTGCACTGCAGTGGTGAGGACCTTGCCTGTGACTTGGCATTGCAGCATAAACTAAGGTAAATACTTCCAGCCTATATAAGTGAAGGTATGCCTGCTTCTTAAAAATATGTCATATAAAGACAATTTTTTTGCTCTCTTTTAGACACAGTGTTGGATTATGGAGAGGAACTTGACATACCAACTGGGCAGAGGTGGCTCTGAGGACATGTTGGTGAGTCAGTCTCCATCAGGTTGCTCCCCTGCAAGCTGAGGCCAGTATAGCCCATCTTAGAGGTCCAGTTTTGTCTATGGGGACATATAGCATTGAAAGAGATGACAAGGATTTAGAAGAAATAAGTGTGATTGTTGTTAAAAAGATTGAGTGAAAATATCTTTGGCTGATGAGCTTGTGGAAGAAGGCTGTCCTTGAGGGCAGAGGTAGTGCTAGGAGTGTCCTATGGAGGATATCCTGACTGGAGTATGTGCTGCCATCCATCTTCTTTAGCTCTTTGCTGTCATAGGGATATGGTGGTTGCAGAGAAGTCAAAGCTGCGAAGGAGGGAAGAAGAGGCAGAAAGCCCCATCTGCTCTTTGGGAAGTCACCCCGTGGGCCAGAGCTGCCACTGTTGATCTCGCCTGGGGTGGCTAAAGAGTGTGTAATATGCAGCACTCACTGGTGACCTGTAAGTGGTGGTGCCTTTACAGCTGAAAAACTGCTTAAATTGTGTAGGAATCCTCTGCAAAAGTAACTTGTCCCGTGAAGGGCTATTTTTGGCACTCAGCTAACAGAAAATGAAGCTGTTAGGAGATGAACATTTACATGTCAGTTTCTCCCTGAGCCCTGCTCCCTTTCACCTTTCAGAATGAAAGATGAAATAGGACCCCAAAACCCATACCAGGGACTCTCAGCCCCCTGGCCATGCTTATTTCACTGCTGGTTTGGGGATGCTCCCTGTCTCTGGTCCCAGTGCCCCACCTCGACTCAGGGATGGGGCATGCCTCCACAAGGAGTCAGGAGAGTCAGCTGCATTCTGATCTCCTTGCCCCTCAGGTGCAAGAACCTCATCCCAGATCTTGCAAGGGAGGACCAGTCACTCATGTTCATCCCTTGTTTGCATCCTGTACCACAGCTGCAGCACAGCTGTTTTGCCTTCATGTGGCTTAGCATGAGCTGACTTGTGCCTAGTATATTTACTAAGAGGGTAATATAGGATTTGGGTCTTATAAACTTTTTTGCCCTTGAACAGGTGGGTTACACATTACCAACATCTAACTCTCCTGCAGCCTATGAATCCAGCTTCTACTACCCAGACCTGGGCGTCATCTGTGATCCTGAAAATATTCCAGCACTTTCATCTACCTTTTTTCCAGTGCTGTACTCCCTACTGTTTGTGGCAGGCCTTGTGGGAAATGCTTTGGTGATTTGGGTTCTAACAGTTTTCAAGAAAATCAAGACTATGACTGACGTGTATCTGCTGAACCTTGCCATCTCTGACCTTCTCTTTGTTTTCTCCCTCCCCTTCTTGGTTCAATACTCCATCATGAGTCAATGGACTTTTGGAAATGCTATGTGTAAGATCATCAGCTCAGCTTATTTCATTGGTTTCTACAGTAGCGTCTTCTTTATAACCATCATGAGCATCGACAGGTACTTGGCCATAGTCCAGTCTGTCTATGCTCTAAAGATTCGGACAGCTGCCCATGGGGTTATCACCAGCCTGGTCCTTTGGGTAATTGCCATTTTGGCATCAATGCCAGACTTAATTTTTTACCAGGAAGTAAATGACAATAACCAGATTAAGTGCATCCCTCACTATCCTGGTGGCAATGGCTGGAAGACTTTCAGTAATTTTGAAGTCAACATCCTGGGGTGGTTGATCCCTGTTGGTGTCCTCATTTTCTGCTACCACAGCATCTTGAAAAACCTGAAGAAGTGCCATACCCAGAACAAGTACAAAGCAATAAAACTGGTTTTTGTTGTTGTAATTGTGTTTTTCCTCTTCTGGACTCCCATAAACGTTGTGCTCTTTTTGGACTCTCTGAGGAACATGTACATCATTGATGACTGCCAGACAAGCCAAAGGCTAGATCTAACTGTGGAGCTGGCTGAGGCGCTCTCCTTCATCCACTGCTGCCTCAACCCGGTCATCTATGTCTTTGTGGGTGAGAAGTTCAAGAAGCATCTCTGTGAAGCTTTCAGAAAATCTGCATGTTTTCTATTGATCTGCAAAGACTACAGAGCTTTCAGTGGATGCAGCCTGGACAAGCACTCCTCTCTGCACACAAGGTCCTCACAGTCGTCCTTTGTTGGTACAGTCCTGTAGAACTACAGGTCAAAAACGATCATCCTGGACAGGTGAGAAATCCTCCCAGAAGGGCATCTACAGAGATGGACTGTTTGTGCAACATTTTATGACAGAAAAAGTGGAAACAACTACTTGATTTTGCTTTTAGTGTTCTTGCTTTTTAGGGTCTTTTTTAGCATCCTCCTCCCTTTCCCTTAGCACATCCTGCCCTGCCTGCTTCATGATAGGGTGGTGGAATTTACCAGCAAACTCCCACGTTGCCTGAAGCAGCACAGAGAGGTGCCTTAGAAACATATTTTCCACCTCTCATATTCAGTACTGAAAGGAACTGTTTATGTTTCTGAACTCCAGACACTTGACTGCTCCTTCCCTCATCTCAGCAGAGTGAATTGGCTTTGTGAGCAGGGACAGGGCTCACTGCACTAGTAGGAACCTGCTCTGTGGAGGGAAATGGTATCCAAGTTTAAGATGTCACACCAGGGACTGGCTCCCAGTTGACATGTCTGAATGAGTCTTTCAGCCCAAAAAGAGCCAATTGAATAATTGGATAAGCAATAAAGAAATAAATGCTGTCCTCATGTTTTTGTGAAATCAATGTGAATTAATATCTAGGTATGATCTTGACACCCCATCTGTTACCAGGGCCTGCAGCTTCTTGCCTAGAAGGGTTTGGAAGCTGTAGCCCTATAAATGACGCTCTGGGTGTCAAGAAATAACACTTACAGGAATGAATGAGACCTGTAGGAACGGGTGGAGGAATAGTTACCAGGAAAAAAGCTGAAGAGTGGAAAAACTAGTGAGTGTGAGCTGAGAGAGTGGTAAGTGTCCTATGTCAAAGCTTTCTGTGGACCTGCTGCCTGTTAAACCACAGGCCAGGGTGGTGTCTGCTCTCAGCAGAGCCCTGACCTGTGGGCTGAGGAGCTGGCTGTTCTGCAGGAACAGGATGGAGAGAGACACAAACAGGGGTAATTTCTCAAGCATCCTGTAACTCAGGCGATATCTAAAGCAAACAGCACTGGCTAGTTTTGCATGACCAGAGGCTGCTAAAAAACCCAGATGGCACTCACAACGTCCCCCTGAGGGAAGTTTTTGAATACTTTAGGCAACTGATGTGCCGGTGTGGTTACTGCTCTTGAGCATATGGCAGGGGTTGACCTCCCAGTTACTGTACCAGCTTGGTAACTGGTTTATATGTGAACGGTTACTGATTCATATATCTATGTACATATACATGTGTATATGGACTTGCACATACACACAAATAAACACAAATAAACACACATCTATACATGTGTATATATAGAGAAATATCTTTTTTATATATAGAAATATTGATAGATAAATGCAATTGTTTTCTTAAACTTCTATCTCTGATCTGTTTTTCCGTACAAGATATCACCATATTTTAAGTTTTCAAATATATTACTGCATGCAGTATAATTGCACAATTCTTACACCCAAGGAACCCATTTCTTCATTATTTCTTTCAACCTGTGCATTTATTATGGCCTGGACAGTTCTACAAAACTGACAATCCCTTCTGCTCCCTCTTCTCTCCCTCTTCTCTTTCCCTGCCTCTTCCTCCTTACCTGGGAAGAAGCAGAAAGCAGATTATCTTTTATTTTAGAAATTTAATATCTGTAAGCATCTGCCTCTGTAGTGTTACCACACTTGTACCTTGGGCTTATTCCCTAGAATAAGGCAGAACAAAACAAAAATAAAATTATTTTAAACCACTAATCTTCTTCGGATGGGATTTACAAGTTTAATTGTGCTCCCTGCAATCTGCAAGGTGAAATCTTTCGCACAAATAGGCCAGTAATGAAAGGTGTGTGAGAAATACATCTTCCTCATGCAGGCCATGACACATTTCCCAAATTGTAAAGCAAAGACGGTGGCCAGAGGAAAAGGTTCAGCTGCTGCCTAGGTTCCAGCAGCAGGATTGCAGACAAGCGCAACAGTACAGTCACTGCCTCTCAGTGCCCTACCACCCTCGGGCAGCCAGGCTTTTTTTTTGGGTATGCAAACACTCAGGTGCTCTAGAAGGGGAGTCACAAAAATTCAGGACAAAGCCAAAGGGTGGTAGGCAAGAGGACAGCCCCAGCTCTCTCCCCTGCAGATTCACAGTATGAGCCCTCTAAATCAAAACTCCATCAGCTGAAGCGCAAGAGATGGGAATGATTTTTGCATCCCCACAGCTTTGTCCTGCATCTCCTGTATGAGTGCTTTGGGACAGGCGCTGGAACCCATTTGCCCAAGCTCGCAAGACAGTGGCCTTTCCCTGGTGTTGCTGAGCATCTCTGCTAGGGGATATCTCCTTCCTTTTAGAGGTTTCATTGATTGCTGTTGTGTAGCTTTCATTGATTGCTGTTGGAGTGTGGCTGTGATGACCCAAGGCTTCCCCACAAGGGCTGTAACCTGGTGGTGTTAGGGTAGCATAAACGTGCAGAGCCTTCTTTGCAAAGTCTTTCACTTCTCTAGCTCTCACTGGTGGGCATCCTCCCCTGCTGCTGCCTCAACACCTCTTGCAAACCCTTCTAACACAGAGGTGGGAGAAACTTTCTGCAGTTCAGTGAATTTTCTGCCAGAGGCAGCTGCCTTCCTCTATTGCAGCAGCAACATCAAGAGCTCTGAGTTGGACCTGACCTCAACTTCTCCTCCCGGCCCAGCTGCTTTAAGCTGCTATTGCTGCCTTCCTGTGCAAAGGGAGAAGGTGAGACCCACATCCGGAGGGTACATGGCTGGCAAGACCTGCCCTATGTAGCTGTGAGCGACCAGGGACATTCCTGCATGTTACAGAGCATCTCTTCTTTCTGAAGGGACAACCCTGAGAGCAGTCTTCTGCCCTACCAGTGCCTGTGAGGGCATACAGAGCAGAAGATATTTTCCTGCATTTGTGCAAGCTGATGGGCAGCTTGAGGGTAATGGAAATTTTAGGGTCTTCCCAAGAGCTGGGAACACAAGAAGTTGAGGATAGACCAGACCATAGCCCTAGTGCCTGTTTACCTACTGTGTAAAAAGCACCCAGTACAGTTGTTATATCAGTCCTGCTCATATCTGCTACTTACTTTCACATCTGGATCTTGCTTTTTCTTTTTGCTGAGATGATGCAGGTTAAAGAGGATTCAGGATGATGTTGGCACATCAAATAGTCAGATATAGTGACTCTTGTTCTTAAAACAGAGACCAGCATAACTGTTACCCATATTCAAGCTTAAACCTAAAATACACACCAGTTTTCTTTTGATTTATTGGTTTTTACTAGCACAGAGGGTCCCTTCTACAGATGGTCTCTGTTTTGAAGGATGGAGTCTTTGTCTGATGCCACCCATGATGTCCTACTTGTCTGCATGGAAAGGCCTTTACAGGCTGGAGCGTTGCAGTGGCATCAGGGGGCTCATCTTGCGTGATGGTCATTTAACACGCTGTGCAAACCTGTGATGTAGTTGTAGAGAACAAAAGGGTGTGTTTAGGGACCATGCTGTTGAACTATACCAGCAAAAAGTGGGATGCATGAGGACATGTTAGCTTACGGTGTTGCTAGATCCCTCGGAAAACAGTGTGAAGTGGAACCTAGCAGATTGTTCCTCATCTCAGCTCTGAGCTGCAGGACTGCCACTTTTAGCACAGGGAATGATAGTCTTTGCATCTTGTTCCAAAACAGCATCCTAGAGTAAGAAACTAGTCTATATCTGGCCTTTTCTGGCATTATACTGAAGCCTCCTTCCCAAGGCAACATGGAAACGACACTAACTAAATCCTTGGCAGAATTTCTGGCTTTCAAGTCACATGTTCAGGCCACTGCATGCAGTCTACAGATGAGGATGGGAGCTTCTGACTTGATCCTTTCTGGAGGAGTCCTCCCAACCAGCAGCACAACTCTGCCTCTTTCTGCTGTGGTACCATCCAGCTACACCTGGAGGACAGAAGCATCAAAACTTTAACAAGGAAAAAAAGAAAGGTTAATGAAGGGTATCTGTGTCCCATGCTTCTCTTAGCTGAAAGATACTCCTATGCCTGGATGGGCTTGCATTAAGCATGCATAAAACTCCCCAAAGCCCTCTTAGTTGTATCACGTCCAAGATAATCCTGTTTTATTTTCTGCCTCCTGGAAACACTGATTATATATACATCAGTATATATATATATATATGCATATTATATATGTATTCCAGTTATGAAACACCATGGAAAATAATAACTGCTCCACAAGAGGATCCAGAAAGGAGGACCATGACAGAAAAAAAAATAAAGATGACTTTAGGTATTCTCTACAGATGTAAAAATAGTTTGGGAAATTGAAAGGTAATTATAACCTTAGTCTGAATATGTCATATTTAACTGTGATGTGTGGGCTGATATGCATTTTTGGTTAATACACCTTAAAGGTTAATGTCCCTTAAAGGCAGCAAATAATGCTGGGCAAAGCAAAGCTGCTGCTGTCCTACGTCAGTTTTGACATACAGGCTCTGAGCAGCGTGCTCCTGTGTCTGTGCGCTTCTAGATAAATCCGTGTTTCTGCTGCCTCGGCTGACAGGTCAAAATGTACAGAGACTTGTCACAGAAATCCCCAACTCAGAAGAGCAGTAGCGTGATTTGGGTTTCCTCAGCCACTGCTGACGAGTGCGTCTGCCGGGAGCTCGTCTGACCCAACGCCGCTCTCGTCTCGTGGCTGCTGTGCTTTCCAGAAGCCAGTGCAGCCAGTGCAATGCTGGGTCAGCAGCTGGGGCACAGTTACCATGTAGAATGAACTATATGCAAGAGAAGCCCACCACCAAGCAAACAGCAATGTCTGCTGTGTTACTCCAGTAAACACGGTTCTTCCTTACCATACTCCAGTATCCAGGCAGGCTTCCCGGTAACGTTAATGAGTGTGCAACATGTGCATGTACCTCTGCATCAGCAAGACAATTATCCTTTTATTCACTTGGCACCCTTGGAGAATGTTGAGTCTCTGTAATCCTCCGCATGCTTGAGTTTAGAGAAGTTGTGAATGCATGTGCAGCATGTGAAGATGA